GCTCCAGCAGCGCTCAGGGAGCTGTAATACGAGGAGGAGGCCGTCCATCTGTGGCTCTGAAAGGGCCACAGGGCCACAGGCTTAGCTGACCTGTGCCCGAGGGAGACATGGCAGTAATTATCTAAAGAGCTCCCTCTAGAGGCTTGGGAGATTAAGCACTGGTTGAGTGAGGACAGGTGGGCCGAAGGCCTTAACACTGTGCCTCAGTGCAGCTGTATCGTGCCGGCTGAGTGATGACTGGCTACTCTTTTCTACCACAGTCTGTTGCCTTATTATATTACCTGCTCTTGATGTGTTTATTTGATAGTCTAATATTATTTAACTTTTTAAACCCTAAAGGCTAATATGTGGTTACTACTAATATGTGGACCTCTCTCTATACAACTATATAACATGCATATGAAACTGAATGATTTATAGTAATTTTTTAGGGGTAACAATAAAATGTAATAATTTTTTAACCACACTATATTGTGGTTAAAAATAAGGGGTGATATCAGCTGCATTCTATAGATTATCTATCCAATACATGAAAGGTTGCGGTCAACTTCCAGATCAAGTCTCGTAATTGGGTTCTGCAGCAACATGTATTGTGAGCACAGTATGGTGAATCTGATCAGATTGTGAGCTGAGTGTATCATTATACCTCTAGTAGTACAATAATTCTTGCTCCAAAGGTTGCTCCAAATAATTTGAATACTCAATATTCATGCATTACGTTGGTATTCAGTTCTCTATGCAGCATTCAGAAGCTTTTTTGAGCCACAAAATTTTGTAGCATGAAATAAATTTCAGCAAAAGCCTTTAGACGGAGCAGTCATTATTAAAATAGGACAAATGATGAAGTAAATATATTGTAGCTGGTTTAGTTTAAAGCATAATAAATCCTTACAGGTATCAACTCACCTCAGAGTGCAAAAAAAAATACAATTCAGAAGATAAGAAAAATGCTCACTGCAAATGTGTGATAAGAGGCTTATCCATGGATGCACCACAAGTTAGATGGATTATCTCAAATATGTCAATTTAGTGCCAGTACATAACTGCTTCAGGTGGTAATATTTGCATTTTTTCTGTAGTTCTTTTTGAATTAAACAGTTTTGCAGCAGGTTTAAAATACTAGCACAAGCAACAGCTTATTATTTTGACAAAACTACAATCACAATCAATTTTTTTACTGCTGATGTATATAGAAGAGTTAGTACAGCACAGGAGCTGCTCTGCAACTACCACACCAGCAAGATCTTCTTTTTAGTAAATTACTATTATAAATATAGTTTAGGACGCTATAGAAAGTGAAAGTGTGTTTAAAAAAATTTTCACTTGGGTGGCAACAGAAAGTCTTACGTCTTGTATCTGCATTTTGACAAATGTAAGACTGACACACTAATTAAAAAGAAAACATAGCTTTTCTGTCAGCTGCCCTAAAGAAGATTTTGAAAAAGTATTTGAGTACTCAAAGCAACAAGTATTCAAAGCCTATAAAATGCTATTACTGCCTCTTCAATTTAATCATTAAATAATAAGTCTAGGTGTCAAGGGCCCCATTAGTTGCCTTTGATGTAGATATAAATGACAGTGTGGTAGTTTTGTCGTTTGTTCTCTGAAACATTCTTGAGTCGGGCAGCTCCTTCATTCTTCACTCTATTGTTGTAACTCAGGAATCTGACCTTGTTTTGACCTAGTTTCACTCCCGGTAATCTACAAACACCAGGAGAGCTTTCATGCCCAGTCCCAGGCCTTTTCTCAGACAGTAGCCTGCCCTGGTCATCACCTATCCAACCCTGTTGTGAGCCAGGTCAGAGGGAGAGAAAGAGTGAGAGGCAGCGTGTGTCTGAATAGGAGGATTACCGTTAACGTGAGTGCTTTGTTGCAGACCTTGCTATGGGGTTGACCATGTTCTGTGTGTTTGCGTAAGAAGCTGTGATAGATGTAGCTAATGAACTCCTTTTTTAATCTTAATGATGAATTGCGATTGCATTGTGTGGCTTATTGAGCAGCCGGGCCATCGCTCCTCACCGAATGAATGAAGAAATGAATGAGTGTCATGTTGATGAGTTGTTTGTTTTGTTCCTGTAGTCTAATGGGGTCAGCTCTCTTTATGAATCACTAGAGCAGACCTTATAGTCACTAAAACATACGAATGAGGTGGCATTTGCTTTATTATCATGCAATGCAATGTTGTTAATTGTTATTCACTGATTTTTCTGGCCTCTTTGCCTGGTCCAAAGAGGAAAGTGAACTTTTTTTTTAATATTTGACATAAATCCTTGATCTGAGAAAGATGACCACTCAGTGTCCTTCAGCAAAAAACCTGTTATTGGTATTTTCGGCAAAGCAAGTGAATGTTTCAGGTAGGAGCTGGTTGATAAGTGAATGGTGCAGTGCTTTGACTCAGGTCATTTGCAGCTAATTTGAAGGCCAGATTGGGGTATTGAAGGATATCCATAGAGTTTCCCTGCGTGATAATAGCTGCGTAGGTGTAACTTACACCACTTCAGTCAGCATAGCTGTCTCGGGGCTTGGAGACAGATGTTGACGCCGTGTCTTCAGCGGCCGCCCCGAGCAGAATCATCCTTTCTGGAATTACAGGAAATGTTAGACGCTAATAATGTGGCTGAGGAAATAGCTGAGTTTTCGCTGCTGATGACCCATGACGGATGGAATGAGGCAGAAGAAACAGCAGTTTAAACATACCTGCTGGCATGTCAGATGGAGAACTTCCAAATATTGGGATGTTTTGTGAAGTGATCGTACAAGATAGCAAAATCAAGATATGCATTACTTTAATGAAATGAGGATTGAAGTACAAGGCAATATTTTCTCGAAGCTTATTTTGTTCTCAGTTAGGTTAAAGTACCTCTCTAGTGAAGCACTAGTTCTTGAAAATAACTTTTGTGCATAAGCAGTTTGAGTTGCACAGATTCATACACACACTCCAATGCCGGGCTTCCAAACCAACACAGACGCACTCCGTATTCCAGCGGTGCATGTGAAATCCACATAATGATAATCTGATAGCTCTTGAGCTCCATCTGTGCTCAATAGTCTTTTATTGTCCTTAATGAGTGGAAATCTTTGTGTCAGCGCACCCAGCTGTGCTGCTGTCCACAGCAGGATCTCAGCACTAACCTCACATTAGCTCAGGAGCTCGTCTGGCTCTCTCCAGGGTGGCTGTTGAGCATCCACTGGTTTGGGCTTAGTGACTTCTGGGTTTAGTGAGTCACCCGACACTCTGAAGTCTCCCTCCCGAGCCACAAACATCATCACATCATTCTGTCATGCATGCCCAAGTAATAGCACATGACTCTGTGTTACATTAAACCACAGAAACTAAGAGTTATCACTTTTGTTTGGCTGTACTATTACATATGTAATTAACATTAACATTCTGTATTTACAGCTTTGAATCTGCATTTCTGACTTTGTTCTCTTTGATTTGATGTCAGAAAAAGACAAAAACCTATTAAAATGTAAAGTGTTTTATTACCACAAACAGGACACAACAACTTTTTAACAAATGCCAATCTTAATAGATATAATAATATTAACGAAATGGTTTGCCAGATTTTTGGCCAAAATAAAATTCCTGGGCTTTTTCCAGAAGTAACCTCCCTTCCCATCCACTCCCATTTCAAATCACAATACAATATCTCCTCTTGTACACTCTTAGAAATGATGGTTCTTCAAGGGTTCTTTAATAAAGGCAGTGGTTCCATTTAGAACCAGGATTACTATACAGACCACATCATGTTTAAATGGTTCTTTTCATGGTGAAATGGTTCTTCAGATTGATGGAGAATGTGTTGTGTATGTAGAATATACATTCCTGGGCAAAAAAATGGGCCAAGCCTAAAATTCAAAAGAGTAAGCTTTTAACGGTCTTTCAAATTATTAAATAAATAGAAAGACTATTTGAAATTTTAGCTTTTCCCTTTGATTTCTTTAAATGTTGACGTTTTGTGTGTAACCCAAAAAAAGAGTCAGTATTGTTTCACTCCTAAGGTGAAATTTTCTATAGGGTGTTAATCAAGACCAAAACCATCAGTAAAAACCATTATATTTTGGGGTTGGCCCTTTTTTTATATTGCACCAAAAAAAAAGCGTTTTTGTATTGTTACAAACATTGTAACAATAGAAGAACCCTTTTTGTTGCTGTACAGAACCATTTTCAAAAAGGTTCAATATAGAACCTTATATAACACATTCTTCTTCAATCTGAAGAACTAAAGAACCCTTGAAGAACCATCTTTTTTAAGAGTGTACTTGTGTGGATTGAAAGTTTTGAATTCACACTTTTGACAGAATTTCTATGACGGAAGATAATTAAAATCGAACAACACAATATTTTATCACCAGTGATAACTCTGACTTCAAGGTGTTACAACAGAGTCTGTAAGCAAGCAGAACTTGTGAACACGTCAGACACGAGGCTCCATTGCTAAGCCGACCCAGTTCATCTCTGCTAAAGCTGTGCAAATGCAGCCTTATATGGTGCCTTGGGGAGTATATGTTTTTCAATTGCTTCCTCGTTCAGGAACGAATACCTTGCATATCCCACTGATGCTCATGCTTGGTTAGATCCTCCCGAGGTCTTCACATTTCACAATAAACAAGATGTAAATCTAAAATAACGGGCCAGAGATGCACATTTTTCCCCCGCTCTGAAATTCCTCTGAGTGCAATCATTCAAAATGTCAGGTTTCATCCATAAAAGCCTCATAATTTTAAGAGTGTTTAAAGCACTGATGTCAAAGATAGGATTATTAATTTCTCCTCTGATACTCAGCAGTGATAGATGATTTAGGTTTCTTCACTTTTATGATAATTACCCTTAACTAAGAGTCTTCCTCTGGAAGCTGCCTTGTTGCAGAGCAGCGTGTGAGCATGACTCGTAAAAAAAGGACTAAATGAGGACAAGCACAGGAGGAATATTATATGTCTGCATCTGTTCTAGCGGAGGGTTGTAAATTTGTATCCCTTTTTTCTTTTTTTCACAGATTCTACAGAGGAGACTATCACATTGACGTGTGTATAAATGATTACCTGGATGTCTACTGTCCTCACTATATGGACTCCGTGCCAGAGGAGAGGACCGAGCGCTACATGCTCTATATGGTCAACTACGATGGCTACAGCTCCTGTGACCACACGGCCACAGGCTTCAAGCGCTGGGAGTGTAACCGGCCACACTCACCCAACGGGCCTCTAAAGTTCTCCGAAAAGTTCCAGCTCTTCACGCCGTTCTCTTTGGGCTTTGAATTCCGACCAGGCAGAGAATACTACTATATATGTGAGTTTGAAAGGAAAAAAGCAAAATAAGCACTACCGCTGTGTTCAGTTCTGCTGTTGTGCCCTGTTTACATTCATCCAAACTTAATAAGCCGGACTTTTGCAATTTATGCACTGTTGTTTAAAAGTTTGGAATTACTTTCCATATTAATAATATTTTTTATTATTTTATACAATAACTTATAACTTATACAAAAAATTTTATAGTTAAATAATATAAACTAGACACCTAGAGGTATTTTTGGGCGTTTTTTTAATTATTTCAATGTATCAGGTAATTTGAGAACAACTAGCTAAATAAATGAGAGCAAATGAGAACAAATAGCTATAAAGTAGTATAAATAATATACAGTAATTATGCAATAGCTATACAGCAACTAGGTAGTTCTAAGGGAACACCAATGATAATTTTATTATGGCCAGTTTCAAGTTTTTTTAAACCAAACTGCCCGATGGCCAATATTTTTGGTCAATGAACATATGAACCATACTAGGTCATTTCCAATATTTTCCATTAGTCCTAATGTAAATAACATTGTTTGCTATTTAATCTGCATTTTAAATTCCTAAATGAAAAATCAGTTGCGTATTAAAATAAAATAAAACAAATAAAGTTATAAACTGAAAGCAAGAGGCATCTGGGTATTTGGCACTATGCATAATTATTTGGCCACTTGGCAGTCATGAAAAATTGTGCTGTGACATTTTGGTATAGGTGTAGCAGCATCTACAGCATTTTACGGCAAATACTCAGTTATTCTGATCGCATATTTGGAGCAAAAATCTGCCGATGCCAATCTTGGCAGATTCTGATTTTGGCAGACTCTGATCGTGCATACCTAGTAATTTATCAGTTTATGGGCCTTTAGATTTTATCACCATACAAGACCCCTTGGATGTTAAAATTTTATTGTGATTTACTGGATATTAATAGTAATTCATTCTTAGTCGTTTTATATATCTAGATATTGTATATCTACGGCTGAGTGATGAATCTGTATTCATCATTTTTTATTTTTTTATTTTTTTTGCTTTTATAGATTCCTCCTAATTATTTAAGACCTGTGAAGTTGCACAGGACAAATTAGACTCATTCTATACATTTATCTGCAACCTAAATGGTTTTATATTACTGAAAACACTGATTCCAAACTTTTGAACCATAATGTAGTAATGCAGTCATAGCATCTTAAACAGATGTTGTGCTAGTGTCCTTCTGGAGCATTGGTAGAATGTGAGCATAAGCATTTGATGCCAAGCAAGGAAGAGAAAAGCCATGGCCAAAGCCAAGTATGAGTTTGTCTTTCAGGAGTTCTGGCAAAATAGACTAAAACAAAAATACGAACCTTCATGGAAAACCGTCCTGATTCTCGTGGTCTTCCTGTAAGGCGTCTTTGTTACAAACTCCCAGTCTCAGCTTTCGCTTGCTCGTGAGAGGGCTCTTTAAAACAAGCATCTAAAGCCATGTTTTTACAACTGGAGTCAGATCCCTGTAGAGTGGGAGCAGGGAAGACAAAATAAGGCACAGGAGTGGTCCGACTGCTTGGACAGCTCGGGTCTGAGATAGCTCCATTTATGCAGGCGCAGGCAGGAGAGTCTGATTTAGTAGCCTTTAACATGATGAACTGACAGAACGTACAGGAACATCAAAACAATGTGCCTGTTTATGTGGGATATGAAAGAGCAATAGGAGAGAAATGGAGAAAACAAGATGGTTAAAAGCATGAGAGCAGAGAGTGAGAGAGAGAAAGAGAGAGACTGAGACAAAGAGAGAGAGTGAGGAATGTACAGTAAACAATGATTAGAGGTAAGATCCTAGCAGGAGATTAGAATGTGGTTTTTTACATGGGTGTGCATGAAAGGCATTGCCACACTGTAAAGCGCAGTTCATTTCCCCGGAGCTTTGAGTCAGGACAGTAGGATGTGAAACATTTTAGATGAAATAGAGGAGCTGTCAACTAATCTGAAGGTTTTACAGGAAGAGTGAGTGAGAGAAAATGAAGCGATGCTGCTCACAGCTCTTTCCTGTGTGACTCAGTTTTATGACTCAACAGTTGCGGATTCACTTAAACAAAGAGCCGGTTTCTGTCCAACCTACCGATGCAACTAAAGGGAGAACGAAATAACAAACAATCTGTCAGCAATCAGGCGTTTTGGCTCCAATCATGATGTAGAGTGTTAAAGTAATCATACACCCACAGTGTGGGGAATTTAATCTCAAGAAGAAAGCAGCTGCATAGCTGTCAGTAAACTAGATCATATCAGCAACAACCACTTCAAAACTGTTTGGATAGCCATAAGTATGGATGTTAAATGAGACTGGCAAAGAGGAAATTTATGATAACAGTTTGTTGTACAGTGACTTTATTGAATTTAGGAGTGTAAATGCGCTGTGATTTCAGAAGGTTAGAATCGATCATAATTGATTATAATAATGCTCAACAAAATATGTGCTCATTTTTAAATAAGCACATAAAGTTCTTGGGCTGTTTTCAAACGCAAAAAAAGCTTGGTTTATTTTTTTATTTTCTATATTCGACCAATTCTCTCAACACATTTGAAATATTAATGTATTTTTATAATACATTATACATATGAATTAAGGGTGATCAAAATGGCCAAAATATAGCATCACAGTACGTTTTGTGATGAGACTTCATTGTGTATTAAGATATTTAGTTTTTCTGATGTATGTTGTAATGGACAAAATGCCCTAAGCAAAACAGCAATGCACCTTAAAATTGATGTACTTATATGCAAAATTTTGAACACCCCTGGTCAAATGACATTTTATTGATTTTCTAAGCGAAAATATCTTAACACAATTTTACAGGGAACTAATATGTGGCATTTTTGCAAATTGTAGTTTAGCATGTTGGAAAAAATAAACATAAAATATATAATGTACTATAATTTTTGCACAGTTCACATTTTATATTTGTGTTTATTTTATTATTTTTTACCACTATGTTAAATTCAGCAAATGAACAGTAATTATGCTTCAAATTGTGCAGACGTGTCATCTCTGTAGGTGTGAACGTATTTTCACTTACAAAATCAACAAAACATGTAATTTGACCAGGGACGCCTGAACTTTTACAAGGATTTTTAATTCAGTGTTTGCCAGAATAAACCATTTACAAAAGAACAGACAATTGGTAAAATTAAATGAATAAAACAAGATATGGCATAATGGCATAATAGGCTGACACCTAACCACCTACATGCTGCTATAAAGTTTATACAGTTACAAATAGACTGGTTGTTGCTGTTGTTTACAGACTCTCTTTAATTAGTCTACATGTGGCTTTTTTTATACATGCAGCTGCTCAGTGTCCTAGAAGCACTAACCTATATGTACTCAGAAAAGCATGTCGATATGTAATTTAAATGATCTTATTTCCCAACTGTACTATGAATCGAGTTGTGAGGTCAAGGCCCCTAATTTTATTTATTTCTTTTTTAAGCTAAAAAGCCTCGGCCAGTCTTTACTTGTAGCTGTGAATTATTGCTCTTGTTGGGTGGATAGCTATATGTCTGTGTTAGGTAGACAGAGTGCCTTTGTTAGAGGCTGCGATGGTTAATCAGTGTGAGTGAGAGGTCGCTCTGGGAGAGCCTGAGGGTGACACACGCGGCCTCTGGGCTGTCAGTCAGCGGGCCTGTCCTGCTCAGGAAGCGATCAGAGGGGATCAGAGGGCCGGCCCTGCGGGGTCAAATGTGAACATGCTCTGATGACTGCAGTTGAACTTTGAATCCTGAATGGCTTAAGGCAGCATGTTTTTCCAATATGGCCTTGGTGGAAGTCTGATCTTAATCTCCGAGGATAGAAATCCAATTTCAAGGGAGGTTTTTAGTCCATCTCCCCACCCCCCTGTGTGAGAGGGGCTGACGGCGGCGCGCCCCGTCTGATATGAGCTTGCTTCGAAAGTGCACGACTGGCATTTGCTGGCTGCTCTCTCCGTCTCGATAATACGATAGACCACGAGTGTTTCCACTGTACGTTTAGATCAGATTTAACCCTTCGATAAGCACTGTTCTTCGCAGAATGCGGGTCTTTTGCATTTGGCTTGAAAGAAGTCTTTTAATGAGCGACTTGACCTCATTTTCCTTTATGTTGCTAAGTGCTCTCAGACTCTTAAGAACGTGGCAGAACAGATCAGAAGCCAGCAGGGTGCCTTATCTCTCAGACAGGGCATCAATCCATCTTCCTCCTGTTTATCAGACTTCTCAGTTTCATCACATCTGATCTCTCCACCCATAGCTGGGATAGTGGTGTCTGGGAGGTTTTACTAACCCCGGTCGTCTGCAGTGTGGATCTAATGTCTGCCATGTGAAGCTGCAGACATGGAGAAGCTGTTCAGGTTGTTGGCAGTGCAGGGTGCAGAGTGGCCTTGAATAGTCTAAGCTGGTGTTTTCTAGTCTCAACCCTTTAATCGCAAGCCAAAAAAGCATCTGTTTCTGCCTTTTAATCTACTCTTCTCCTTGAATAACTTGGTTTCTCAATGATGGTGTTATATTTACCTTGATATGTAAAGAACGTGATGTAACAGAGACAGAAATTTGTAGTTTTATTTTTGTTTGTGTCACAAACTACCATTTAGAACTGGCACACACATGAATAGGAATGTACTTTACCTTGAGTTGCCTTCTATTGTTCCGCAGATGAATAATAATAATAATCATCAATAATAATAATAATAATAATAATAATAAGCCATTTGTGCTCTGACTTCCATTTTGAATGTGTGTGCACTCTTGCTAAGAAAAAAAAATTGCAGTGCATTCAACAATAAAAGCAGTATTGTGCTTCTTTTATATAGATAGATAGACTCAGAGGGAAATTACAGGGGTAGAGCTGCAGCAAAAGGGACTGTGCGCATACATAGTTTAGAAAAAGAAAACTATAAAAATGTCCAAGACCTAAACTTAAAGCTCAAATGCAAGCAAATATTTGTATATAACTGGAAGCAGTCCTTAGTAAGATTTGAACATGTTTAACATGTACTGCGCAAAAGACAACAGCCATTTTGTACAACTTATTCATTTTCAGAAGATATTTCTGAGGAGTTAAATAAAAGATAGTCCAATTGTGCAAGGAAGGTGAACATGAGACAGGAAAGAAGCAGAAAATGCACCCAACTTCAAAGACTGAACTTTGGATTCGTGGAAAACTAAAAGCAAATCTCCCAATAAGAATGAAAGAATGGGGAAAGAAGTTTGTCTGTTTAATTTTCTGTTTCTGCCTGTTTAATTTTCTATATTTGTTTTCTGCTTTTTCCTAAAACCACAAAGTGACTAATTTATGCTTTTGAGTGGAAATGAATTAAATCAAGGATGATCTCTGACTTTTGCATAGTGCGCTTTATACACATGTGCATGTGAATATTTACTTAGAGATAGAAAACACAGTAGCACACATGCTGGTACGTTTTACTATGCCCATGCTCAGATATGCTTAGTTTTAGTGAGAGGACTTAGTTAAAGGTATAGATGCAATGATGTGGGAGTTGTGGGCCAATACCAGTATTCATTATTTTTCATGTATATATCTGCAATGCTAATGCCGATATATGAACATTTAAGTTTCTACAAAATAGAAATTAGGACTATATGTACTTGAATTAGCATTTCAAATAAGTATTACATCAGTTTCTATGGGTTCACAAAGGCAACGAAATGAATAACACATATTTTAGAACAGTATCGTTCGGCATCACCTAAACGTTCTGCTCCTCTGCAGTACAATAAAAACTGCATCACATGTTGGTTTAACGTACTGGTCGAACCTAAACATCTGTCTGATGCTGATTTTTTTTTTTGAGCAAATATCTGCCCGTACTGATAAGATTCTGATATCATCATGCATCCATAAGTTAAAGGGAACAAAGCCATAGTCTCTGACTGTATCGCTGCCAAGACATTAGATAAGACAGAGTTAATGTCTGCTGCTGCAGCAGGCTGGGGTAAGTTATGTGATACAGTACAGGCTGACAAAGGCACAATGTCTGTGATTGACAGGTTGGAGTTTTTATGGGCCACCAGTGTAATTATCTTAATGCAGTGTGCAGTGTTTGTAGCTATTTTTTTTCACTATTGTAAATTCTATTGTAAAAGAGTAACTCAGAGGTATCAAACGTATTTCTGCTATAATAAAAAAAGGGGAATAAAAAAAGGAACTAAATCGGGATAAATACCCACACTGCAGTGTGAACATGAAGATGCACACAAAATGCACGTCCTACTGTAAGACAGCAAAACTTGCTGGACCAAACACCCCCCACCCTCTCAGCCACACTGCAGCTTTCTCAAGTGATGTTTCCAATCAGTGCTAGGCTTCTTGTCCAAACTGGGCCAGACTCAAGAAATGAGACAAAAGCAATTTCACTCAAATCAAAGTAAATATGCTTGTGGGGACATGATTAAGGGTTCAGAAACCCCCAGTGTGTCACTGTAGACAGCGTATAAGCACTTTGATTTAACCCATCCTTTTCCCGCAGTTGAGGGTGGGGGGATGAAAGGGGAGAGAGCGGGCAGATTAAGAGCAGCTGGAGACCCCACGCATCAGGGAAGCATGAGGGTCAGGGCTAACGGCAGTGCATTCTGGGAATATACACAGACACTTTTAGATGCATTTATCCCTCAAAACTCCCAGTACAATTCTTCTGTCTTAATGATTCGTCAAACTCTAAATGCAGTAGTTTAACATAAAATTCCCTGACCCCAAATGAAGTGAGATGTGTTTAGGTGTCCAAAGTTTGCTTCTTTAGTTTTGCACTGAATCTAAGAGGCTAATGTAGCTAAGAAGTAATGGAAGTTTATACCAAACAAATTAGCATGGTACAAACTTCATGCCTAGCAAATTTCAGTCTGTGTTGATTTAAGTGATCTCAAACTTGCTCATGTGGTTTCTGACACTGTATGCTGTACTGTTGTCTATAAAAATGGACGAAAGTACTGACAAAGCTCAGGTTTAGCTGCTACTGCTGCTAGTTTTTAGCTATGCATCCGAATCCACATAAACATATCAATTTGAGATTACAACTCAGCGTAGTTTGAGGGAGGTGTGTTATTATGGCAGGCAGTTTGCATGATGCTAAACATTGGCTATAAACTTCCATTACTTGTTAGCTTCATTAGCCTTGTAGCTTTAGCCATGCTGCTCGCCTTCATACATGTTTTGGATGATCGCCTATATTTGTGGTGAGGAGTGCACTGTGGAAGTTTGACTCTTTAACTCTTGAGGGTTAGTAATAAAAGAAACTTTTTACTCCAATGACTGGATACAGTCCATAAAAAACAGTGTCAGAGCTGTTTGAACAGAGGTCATTTGTACCATCAGCAAAGGTCTTTTGGCAACAGGTGTGGCTTTCATCGTCTGTCATTTGCAGCTGTTGATGTTTTTTAGCAGCCAATAAGACTTTAAGTAGCAGGTGTTGATGTACGTAGTGGCTAGTCAAGCTTTAGAGGCAGGTGGAACGATTATGTTCAGCCAAAAGACGTCAAAATGTCAAAGCTGGTCTGCATTTTCCATACTTAGATATTTGAAAGCGCCTTGCTTTGGTTAATCATTACCAAGACTAGATATATGACCCGATACTTTTCTACCGATTGTAAACATTTATCATATATAATAAAAGTAGCCCTGATTATCGAGAAAATTTATTTTTAGCAATCAACAACATTGTATTGCATGAATTAGCAGCTCTGTGGTGTGGCTTTGAATGGAGGGCTTTATTTGAAGCATTTTCCACTGCTCATTACTTAGTCACCTTTACTTCTCGAGTGATCTGTGAGAGAAATACCAAAGCTCTCCTCCCCCTCGCTCCTCGACCCTCATTTGCATTGGCTCCTGACAGCAGGAGATTGCATTACCTACTGCACAAAGAGAGGGCGGCCGCGAGAGGAGCCTGTCTCCCTGTTCCTCTTTAAGCGCTAATAGGCTTTCCTTTATGGAGAGGACAAATTGAGAAACATGGCCCATGGCTAAGATGACAGGGGAAACAGCATATCCAATGTAGCGCTGCCCGCATATATCTGTAGGAAATGAAATGAATGCTGATTGTGTTTCCCTCCGAGGCTGCTGTGCTTGTGCAGGCATTTATATGAGGCACGGAACATGTAGAGAGCACCTAGACTTCAGTGGCTCTGCTGGGACAGGTAATGGCTGCGGAGATGTTAAATGCTCAGGTATCAAACTGCATTTTCCCACTCCAAATGGTTTGTTTTCTATCAGGCTTTTTGTTTCCGCCACTATTTTTCCTCCCCATTTGCTACACTTCACAGCAGATTACCATTTCCCACACTAGAAAACAACCATACTTTTACCGGCATAGAGTTTAATCTGCAAAAGGCAGATTGCATTGTCCTCCTGCCATTGGATTTTCGTGGGAGAAACTTTTTGCAGTCCCTTTACAGGCTTTTTTACTAGAAAACAAGTATGCTTGATGTCTTTGGGTACATGTGGCATGGATTTATTGGGTGTGGTACTAAACAGTCTTAATTGTTTTTACAGCCTCTACAGTCGGTGAAAACGGGAGAAGGACCTGCTTAAGGCTGAAAGTTTTTGTCAGACCAGCAAGTAAGTTTTGTGAGACCTTATGTGAATTGTTTTGGCATTGCTTTGTCTATGTGCTGTATTTACATAGTTTAACAAGGTTTGAAATTGGCAGTAAGATCCAGATATAGAGATGAGATCATGATGCCTGTCCTGACAGCACCCTGCTTTATGTTCTCTTTACAGACAACTGCGTGAAGACCGTCAGCGTTCATGACCGAGTATTCGATGTCAATGACAGAGTGGATAACTCGATAGAGCCAAGAGGTTTGTATGTTCCAGGGAGTTTCCATATTCAGTCTACACTTTTAAAAAATAGAGGTGCAAAAAGAGGTCTTTGGAGTGATGCCATATGAGAACCACTTTTGGTTTCCCAAGGAACCTTTCAATGGGTGACATATGCAAATGTGAAGAATCGTTCTATAGCTCTGAGATCTTCCATATAATATAAATGTTCTATACCAAGAAAAGTTTTTTCATAGAACATTTACAGTACTGAGCAAAAGTCATCAACACTCTTGTTTATTTGATACGCATTTAAAATGACGCATTTAGATCTTTCTGCTTAGATTTGTGCTAAGATAATCTACTTTCACTAGGAGGAGAAAGTCAAAAGAAAGTTCACAGTTTCCAAAAAAAAATTCAAAAAGTATCAAAATATGTTTATGTTTCTGTCCCTCCTTCTGCTGTGAGAAGACAGTGCTGAAAGGATGTATAGCTGCCAGGAAGCCATTACTGAGAAAAAGAAATGGACAAAAAAAATAGAAAATTTGTACTAAAAAAGTTCATATGTTGAGTAAGGTTTTATGGTTTGATGAGTCTAAATTTATAATTGGGATCACTTGGACTGCGAGAAGCAGAAAATACAGCTAATTTCTAAGACTAAGACTAAGACGTGTTGAAAAAGATCCTTGCAGATTCTTTGAAAAACTAAAAGCAAATATCCCAAAAAAAGAATAAAAGCTGTAATGAAGGCAAAGCGTGGACACACTAAATCCTGACAGATTTGATAATGTACTTAGTGTTGGAAATTGTCATGTGTTTTTTTTAATGTAATGTTCCTGCTTTTTACATAGAAATTAAATAAAGGAAAGGATGGTCTCTGACTTTTGCACAGTACTGTACATTGTGTGGAGTAAACTCATCCTTTCATTTACAAAATTGGTTCTTTAAAGAACCATCCATGTAAAAATATGAATCGCACCAAAGAGCCCTTTGGAATCTTTATTTTTTACGAGTGTAAGTAGCTGCTAACTAGTTGTTTTATTACATTTTCTTTTGCATATTCCCAATTCCTCACAAAAGCATTTCCTCCCGTCTTTCAGATGACACGAGCCATGAATCGGCCGAGCCGTCCCGAGGTGATGTCAGCTCTGCTGGGCGTGTACGCGTGGTTGGCGCTCTGCTAGCCTCAGCCCTGCTCCTCTTGGTGTCTCTCTTATCATTATAGCGGCCCATGTGGGTGCAGTAATATGTCCCAATCTTAACACGCTGGAGGACTCGCAAAAGAGCACTTTTAAGTAGACATCGGAGGTCCTCATTATCTTGGTGGAGATTCAGAACATGTTCCTCTAACAAGAAGATGCCAAAAGTGTTCTGACTCAGTCGGTGAGAGGGAGATTTTCTCATTGCCCAGTGGCATTACTGGGTGGATCTTGGTGGATTTCAATTAATATGTCCTCGTCCCTCTACCAGCCTTCTAATTGACACAAAAGAACCAGGCACACACCCTCGTATACATACACACACATCTTTTCTCCCTCGTGGCCCTACACTTCACCCGTCCAAGGGCTTATCTTGAGGAAGAGGGTTGAAAAGGGAAAAAGGAAATGACTTTTTGCAGAGACTGATTTCTATGGCACCAACTGACTATGTTTGACAATGTGAAACAGTTTTAGACAGAGCGATGGAGGACTCCTGCCAACTAGTGTGAGACCATTGTGTCAAAGAGATCTAGGCACTGGAAATGTATGCAACTTTGAGGACTGCAGACTCAGTTGTTTACAGGATCGAATGGGAGCCGGTGGTTCGAGAGCAAATCTTCTATAAAAAAAAAAAAATAAAAAAAAACCAGAATGGATTATTTTTGATGGGACAAGTCACTGAGGACACTTTCTCAGAGGAATGGTAGCTTTGCAAGAGTTTTCTTAGATAAAGAAATAAGCACTCATTTTGTACATTGTGTACAGTTATGGGAATAAGAAGTGGACGCTGTATTCTTGAAGTGAATTGCTCAACTCAAGTGTAGTAGCTATATTGGTATTTTTATTATAGAGTTTGGAGCCTCACTGATCAATTGTTTAAGTGAATATACTAATTTGTTTGGCAAAGCATTTTTTTCCCTCCCTATTTATTGCTCAGTCCTTGTGCTCCTCACACTGCCTCACACTTTAGCCAATAGCCAGGATTCAGGAGGAGGTGAACAAGAATGCCTAGCCTCAGCACTAATTCAGCATAATCATAATCCATGCATTTAATCTGGGATAGATTAAGACATCTCTACAGATTGACGTCTCATTGTGGGTTACTATTTTATTCGATTTTTAACCTGATATCAGGGAAAGAGCAAACAGTGAATGTTGCCATGCCATATTGTCTGTCTGTGGTCATTTCAAAACAAAGTAAATGAATCTGTCTGATTGTTTAAATGGGGTTGATGCTTAGGCAAGCAACACATTTATTGGTTTATTGAAATTCTGTTCTCTCATCCAAGAATATCATTTTAATTTGTGCTAATGAAATCACACATATTGCCAATTGAACAATAAATTTTAAAATGCAGTGCATATCGAAAGTTTTCAGGGAAATTTTTAATGCAGAGTGAACATGTAAATGATCTCATTCAGGTTTTGTTCTAGAAGTTCTCCCATTTCTGCGATTTCATTGGCTTTTTGAAAGCTGGTGCTGAGCAGGCCAAACATCGTCTGATCGTTGCTCAAACAGTGGCGGAACGCTGACAGAGAGTTGCACCCATCCGTGGTGGCAGCTGACGCCCTAACGTGATTTAATAGGCTCTTTGATGTTGTCCAGAGTGTCAGGCATGCGGGCCACATACTGCGGCCTCATGTGGGTCATTTCTGGAATTAAAAATCGACTGGCGCGTGAGAGTGGCTCGGTGTCCGGTTCAGCTGCAGGCTAGCGTTACTCTCATGAACTTGGGCGAGAGGAGGGGAAAGACGAGAGCTCCTGCTACGATCAATAGTAATGGGCTTCACACGTGGAAAAAAAACAGGATAAATATTTGCCTCAGCTGCTGGTACAGATTTCCTGCACTGGCACTGTTTACGATAGACTAGACATAACAGGTCTCTTGCAGATCTCTGTCTTTCCTCTGGAGTAGATTGGGCTACACTGTAGATTGAGATTGATTGGTTCGGGATTAATGCGGCGTGCTGCTATAGCGTAAAACTACTACCATTACTTTTCAAAAAGTTAACACAGGAGCATATGGATCCTAATTTTATGGATACTGTGTATCCGTAGGTTGTCTATGTGATATTCAGTGTTAGAGCAGTTACATTTTGTACCTATGCTTCGGGAAAAAAGACAAAAAAAGTAAGACGCTTAACAAGAAAGATGTTTAATATCAATGTTCATTGTCCATTTCTTTTGTACTTGACACTAATATCCCTGTTATTATGCTAATTTCACTTGTGCATGGTCCATTCATTCTAAATAGTTTGTTCTGACATTTAACCATCTGCCTTATCTAGCACAGGCACCCAAACTAGGAGCTGCTATTGTTTGTGGAAGGTGTGTACCTATACCAGAGTCACTTCTCTGCAAAAATAGCCAAGCTAAGGGTCTGGAAGAAGCATTCCAGCCCTAGATGAGAAGAATTTCCACCTATTATGTTTGGGAAAACATCTGAAATGACCTTGCATCCAGAGACAAACCCTGGTGCTCATTTATAATAGGAACCTTTCTTGTAATATGGCCTGATTCAGGAAACACTGTTTGTGTAAACCATTTTTTTTCAGTGTTGACTGTGCCTCGAAGCATTGTCATTTCATTTCTGTATGCTGTGTTGCAAGGTGGCACCTGAAATCTCTTCTGTCATATGCCACTGGAAATGCTTGTTGAGGAAAGGAATGACCGTGATGTGCTATGCTTGTCTTTTTCTTGAGTCTAGCATGATTCATTGTGCCTCTGTATTTTTTCAAGATCATTTTTCTCTCTCCTGGACCATTTCTCCTCTGCACCGTGTCATTACATTATCTAGTTCTTCAAGCAACTGTTTTAGTCACTAGACATGGACCATCATTCGCCTCTGCAGTTAAACTTTGCTTGGCCATGGGCTCCTGTGTTGGTCACTTTCTTTTGAGTGGTGCTCCAGCCTCCCTGATGGTGCCGCATTATGTTAGACACACATTTTATATCTTCAAATGCCATTGTTTGTAAATACACCTGTCAGAGCAGCTACAACTAATTACAAGAAAAAAAGGTGAAATAAATCTTTGTCATTGTTGTAAGCGCTGTCTCTGTTGGATTCTTTTCCTTGTTTAAGCCACACGTTCTCACAAGTGTCAGTGCCAAAGTAAGTTGGGACAAAAAACTTTCTGGCTGCAGTCTTTTCCAAGGTCACTAGAACACTTGAGAAGAAAGCACATGAAGGAAAGCACTGTGAGTGGACACGGGGCGTTAATCCCTAGCGCATAAAACAGCGCTATAGTGTGAACAGTTTGATGATGGCTCAGGTCACAGATATTTCAAATTCAAATTCAGAACAGATGCCATTCCTCATATCCAGATTATACTCACTGAAGTGCTTTAGTCCAGAGTTTTGCCTCTATAGCCTTAACGGCTAACGATATCCTTCACAGGTCAGCAACTGTCTGAAATCTATGGAAACCCATTTCCACCAGGCAGAGGAGGTAAAAAAAAAATGTGTCTATGTCTTTTTTTCTCTCTCCCTCTCTCTGTTTCTGGCAGCAGTATGTCAAAAGTGTCAAAATAATTATTTTCTTGTAATAATGGGTTGTTTTCTTAAAATTTTGGCTTATTATGTTGAAATAATGACTGATTTTCTTCAAAATAATCATTTATCTTCTCAAAATACTGACTTAGTATCTTTAAATATAAGCTTATAACAAATTACACTGTTTGAAATTTAATAACTCATAATTTCAACATGTCAAAAATATTTCATTATTTTGACATAGTATGTCATTTTTGAAAAAATAAGTATTTGGACAAAATGCAACATTTTTGATAAAATAAGTCTTTACTTTGAGAAATGAACTTAACATTTTAAGAAATAACTCATTATGTCAACATAGTAAGTCAAAATTTTAAGCATTTTGAGATACTAAGTCAAAATTTTGACATACTGCCAGCAGAAACACAGAGAAAAAAACTTTCAATGAAGAGGCTCCCACAAAAGCTTTAGTGCTACCAATATTGGGTGAATTACACTATTCAAAATAAATAGGCCAGGAGAGTTTTTTGATATAGAATAACCACTTTTGGTTGCTTCAAGAAATTTCATGATTCTGCCACGGTTCTGTAAAGGAATACTTAATTGTTTTTTAACCTAAATTTGATGATCAATCAAATGATCATTTACCTTAGACAAGAATTTACACACTTTTCCTCATACTTAGTAACAGAACAGAACATCCAAAGAGTCACTCTGCCCACTGTCTTCTATCACGTTTTTTTCTGTTTTAAGTAAATGGGTGTTCTGTTCTTCAAAAGTGATTCTTCTATGTCATTGCTCCAAAGATTTTATGTTCAAAAACTTATGCTGTCAAAATCCTTGTATTGTTTATAACCCCGTTGTGAAATTCACTTCCAGCATCTAGAGCAGGCAGAGTGAGCTGTGTTTCGGTGCCATTACTGCAGTGTTATGATGAAAGGTGTTGTGAGTGAAGACTTACACACATTTGAGTAGCATCAGTTGCCTTGGGAACGGTCTGCTCTGTGACAGGTCTGACTGATGTAGGCTCGCAGTTTTCCCTAGATCAGTCCGAAAGGTTATTAATCAGGCTATTATGTCATAACGTGTGCTCAAATTCATATCCGAAGATTAATGGATTAAGTGAGCAAGACAGGAAGCACTGGCACATCACTGCATTATTTCAATGCTGTATGCTATACTCAGTGGTCAAGGATAATGTCAGTGAAAAACAAAGAGTTGAAGAGCTTAGACTCAGGCCTGTATTCATGGAGAATCTTAAGATCTGAGAATTGATAAGACCACAACCTTATCTCAGAGCTGTCATAAAACATTTCAGGCATCAGGCAACATATTCATAACTGTTTTGTGTAATGACTGTCTGTGAGGAAGCTTATGAGCCATTAAACTCTTCAGACGTCAGATGCTGTGAACAATTATGACTTTTTAAATTTCTCAACAACAGAGCATTTCATATCAAAGTTCTCTGAATGACTGTTTACATCTTAATTATTTAATTATATAGAAATGGTGAAAAATAGAATTTGGAATATTATGTAAGTTGTAATGTTGAATGGAGCAGAGAAGCATCCATAATTACACAGCTAGTGGAGGCAATTTGGTTTTAATTGTATATACTTAAGCAATAAGCCATTGAAGACCATGTATTACTGTGATTTTATTACGGGAAAGCGTGTTCTTAGGTACAACACTAAGCGGAGTCCCGACAACCCCTTTCCCTGTGATAAAATCACTGTAATGCACTCCCTTATGTGGCTTATTGCCTATAAAATGACAGACAACATAAAACATGATAAAATACACAATGTACAGTAAATAATGTAGCATTAACAAAAATCAACATAAAGTATTCTGCCAAGAAATATAGTTTCTTTAGGGTATGGTACTGTTGCCAAGCAACCATGGACTGCTGAATGAGAAGAATACTTGGTTACTCATAGATTGAGACTTGTAGATTGCGGTCATTTCATGATCTTTTTACCCATTTGTCATATAATAATGAACATATAACACAGCACTATTAATGCAAAAAAACTTCACTTCAGAAGTACTTTTTGGTCACTTCCAGTCATACTTAGCACCTAGCTAACGGTGCCCCTCTTCCCACGCTGGGACTGGATCTCAGATGGCTCCCTGCGCCCTACATAGTGCACTATGTGGGAATTTAAATACTGTCTTCCCAACAGTGCAGAATACAGCAGGGGGAGTATGGAGCTGAAACATGGACGGACATATAAATGACATTTGTTAGTGTTTTATATTACCGTTTTATAGTGAATCATACTGTAAGTACTTTCATTCAAGCCCATGATATTAATGATGTAGCAGTTTGGCATGTTTGCTATCTTTCGCTGACCAGCCTGGTTCTGGTTAAGAAAACAAGTTGTCAACCCCTCAGTTTAAACAGAAACAGGTTCTTACTTCATCAGTACACTCAGTGCTCCACACAAGCAGATTTAGAGTTAACGATTAATTAATTAGCAGCATTAGGATTTTCGTGATGTGGAGCAGTAACACAGAGTTCAGTTGTTGTGAAGTTTGAACTTCATACCCAGCTATGCCTTTGAAGTATTTTACAATGGCTTTGCACGCGGCTCTGATTTTAGGCCTGGAACTATCCGTTTTATAAAATATATATTTTTGACATACAAATTGGTCACAGTTCATTGTTGTCCTCTGAACATAGGTGTTAAATTACATGAGGTAACTTTGCTTGAGAAAGATGATCAGTCAAACTAAGTAAACATATGCGGTAGAACACAATCCCCTCTAGCAGGTTTTCTTGTTTACTTCATTATGCCATCTGAGCACATTTTATCCAATTTTTGCGCTGGAATAAGGGCTGTGGCACTAAGCGTCTTATACATCAAACAGATGCTTGTGAAATTAACTGACTACTTTTTAATTAGTGAATATATAATTAACTAGCAAACATAATTAACCATTTGTCAAATTTACAGTCCTGAAAAAGAGCTATTAAGTACTGTAAAAGCATCCATGTATTCATGCCCACCTGCAACCAAACTTAATATAGTAAATGAACAGTGGTTTTCATGTATGAGATCAGCATGGCCTAACTCAGTGGTCACTAACTGTCCTCCTAGTGATCTACTTTCCTACAGAGTTCAGTTCTAACATTCATCTAACATGCTCACCTTTCTTAATTAACACTAACACATCTGATCCAGCCAACCAGGTGTGGCAGATTGTGGTTAGAACTAGACTCTGCAGGAAGGTGGATGTCCAGGGCCAGAGTTGGTCAGGTTCAGTTCACACTGAATTTCACTATATTAATAGATTTT